GTATGTATGTATGTATGTATGTATGTATGTATGTATGTATGTATGTAAGGCATACATACATACAAGAGCATATTTTATTTACACAAGCTTTATCTTTCATATAATAATTTCCTTTAATTTAATTTGGTTTGAGAGCTTTGTGAAGGATTACATTATGTAGCTGCAAATGGAGAGTATAGTATTGTGAGTACACACCATTTTGTCAAATTAATCTCCATAATCATTTTTATTTTGTTCAAAAAGTTTAGTATAGTCACAATAAAAAGAGTGTACTTTCAGAGATGCTGAATAATCCACATCACACAGAGTTTCATGTATTCTGAATGTATTTAAACATACACCGTAATCTTACCAACATGTGACAGCATGTGGTGTGTTTAATAGGAACCCTACATTAAACACATTACATTTTCACCACATTGCAGATCAAGTGTTAAGCTCTTCAAACAAACATTTTATACTTTTTATATGTTGGCTGAATGTTTTAGGTAAAGTGCATCCACACATGGCTGATTGCAGACTGATGTAACCAGGTTAATTGTACATAGTTCTCAAACAATATTTTCTTTATAAAGAACTGGGAAGCCGGTGAACCAAATCAAAGGTTAAAGGGGTCAGAATCAGTTAAGTATCTGGAATAGACTCAGCTCATATCATCCTTATAAAACACAAACCTAATTTTAAAAAGAACACCCATCTGATCTGGCATCTTACAAATGATTTATTAATAAGCTCTGTAGTGATAACACAGAAAGGCAAAACATATCAAAATGATAACAGTGTTAAAAATAAATTTGGAGTTAGTTTGGAGATAGGATACTGATATCTCATATCCTATAATGGATGTAGGAGGGTTGTTAACTGCTTGCTATTATATACTAACCTATAGTTGATTTGAACATTAACGCAAAGTATTTGTTCTGTGCATAAAGGCTTCCTTCATTAAAGTTACTTTGAGCTAGTTCCAGTGGCCTGTTTGTTGTTTGACAAATTGGTCCATCCATCATTGATCGAATTTGCAATCTACAGTTTAAGTACGTGACCAATGTTGTGCCAAAAAGGAGGATTTGTCCACGGATTGCATGAATCCCTGCTAATTTACAACTATAAAGATCTAAACAAAGCTGTGGAGACACAAAAGCAGCTCAACTCAGGAAAAATAGCAGCCTGTCACAGATTCAGCAGACAAAAAGCGAAACCATCAAATAGTAATACTGCTATAGATTTTCATCAGTTTCTATGTTTTTTGGTCTAAAGTTGTGCTTTCAGTCCTAATTTCCACCCCATCCACCAACACTCACCCACCTAGCTTCCCAGAGAACCTTGTTCCCTCAGTTTTGCTTATTTAGATGGCACAGTTTAGGTTTGAGCCATCCAACCAATGCATCTAGGCACAATGCTGTCACCAAGTCATACCGTCTGTTTTTCTCCAAGGTTACATCGAACAATTAGAACAAAAACTGTGTTTGCAGTCATGTCTCTTTAGACAGAGACAGCTCAGTTTATAATTTTAACAGCTTTGTCCCTTCTAAATGCTCATAGAAATAATCAAACAATACTCCAGCCTCTTTATAAACCACTTGTTCTTTAGTGACCGCATGATGCTAGTAGCCATAGTGATCATGAAACCACTCCATAGAGTGCATAAAAAGAGTATTTGAATTGTATGGTGCCAGGTCAAATTATTAATTCAAGACAAAAGTAAATCAAGGTTGACACTTTGAAAAACAGACTAATTCTTCCTGTCATTTCAGCACCATGGACAGCTCTATTTGCTTAATTTTAAAGGCTACAAGTCCCCCAAAAGAAAGAAACCACAAAGTCCGCACAAGGAGGAAGGGAAGTAGAGGGAGCTGCTAACCCCAGTGCTTTTAGGCATTGATTGCCGTGTTCCATCTTGATAACAGCATAAATCTTTCATCAGATATCACAGACATAATGACATAAATGTATAAAAGCATACCTTAAGAAGTTCTAGTGTTATTTATGTACAGTGACAATAGATGCATATTTTGGATTTGAGCAAATTAAATCATAAAGTTTGGATGTTCAGCAAACAGAAAACGTTTTTGCTCCTATCCAAATCCAAAATCCATTCAATCACTTTGTTAATCCTGATGTCAGCATCTGCTTATTACCTGAAATACACAAAAGTGTCATTCCATAGGTCTAGTTAAAAACATGCTCCATGTGACACTAAATGAACTCCTTTAAGTTTCAGTGTGCCGGCCAGTTGTTCTGCAATGGCTGTCTGGTTTCATTAAGTGTTTGACAGCCCATTTAGGCTGTGAAGAAAAATGGTACAGTGTTCATTACTTTGTCTGAAGAGAGCGCATGGTTGGCCTCATTTATTTGTGTTCAGGCAGTCACCTAACTGTAGAAGACCTGATAAAACAGACATTCCTCTGCCTCCAATTTCCTTACCTCTCCCTCCACTTTTACCATTATCTGCAGTATAATAAAGATAAAACAAAAACACATTACAATACACCATCAACACTTCAAAGGCCATCTCAGCTATATTGATTTCACGGGAGTCAAAAACATAGTCAGTTACTTCTAGTAGGATTGGTATCAAGGCTGCAGTTACAAAATATTCTCCAAGTCTCCATTAATTGGCTTTGGGAAGAAGGGATCTCTGGAACAGTAGCATCAGAAAGGTTGATGAGGACAGAGATTCAGATGGTTCTCATTTAACATAGAGAACTACACATTACAGAGTGAGAAATGTTGAGGCATACTGTTCCATTATTAATGAGCTGTCTTCATTTCGGTGCAGCTCAGAGACATGTACTGGTTAACATTAATTAAAAAAACACAACTCTGTTTCAGACGTTCCCTGAATGATACAAGTCTGAAACGAGGAGATATTGTGTTGTTATTCCAGCAGAACAATCCGGGAAATGCTTGGACTGCATAGAGCAATTAAACAGTCTGCACTCCCCGTTCAATCTGGCACCTCTGATTATGAGTCAGTGAGCCATCAGGCTTTGCACCTATTGCCTGTAGGACAGTCACTCTCTTTTGTCCAATAGTTCACCAACAATTCAACAAGGTGTGGTGGAAGTTTGCTTTTGTATCCTCAAAATAATAACGAACAACATGGTCATCTGTTAATTTATCGTTTACCACTATAGTAATATGTTCCAACTAATACATCAGTGCAGATACCTGCATAAATTTAATTAAAAAATAATGGTCCAACTTTGGAAAAAAAGAAATGTTTAAAGATACAAGGTCATATGTAAAAATAGACCCTCAATATAACTATCATTGTAAAGGTCGTCTGTACAAAGATATTGTCATCTTTTCATATCTAACAGGGATTGCCATCTGAGTTTTTTCCTCTTCTTTTTGTCCCCATACATATTTTCTCACTATCAAAAATTGGAAACTTCTAAAGTTATTGCCATGAGTTTGCGTTCTGTTTGTAGATATCCTTGACAGTCACATTGCTAAAGGCTATACTGTGAATTTTGAAAGAACTGCCAAGAGCTTCTACGCTGGTAAAGATCTCTACATTTCCATCAGTTATGATCACACTGTTAATCAGCACCTGATTAAATTGGAATAAAAAAGAATAAAAACTGAATAACAATAAAAATAAACTCATTTCTCCATCATGGTATTTGATTAAGACAACATCACAGGTACTTGTCTTTAATGTACTTAAAGATCAGAAATGTTTCAGTTAAGTATTTTACTATTGCCTTTATGATATTGTTTGTAACCCGAACACATGAAATCATATACTTGAATGTCTTGTTTAATTGTTTCTTTTCACTATTATCATCTTTCAATTACATTGAATACCAAATATAGGCATTCATTCTCATTTGAGGAACTTTGGTTGAGGATGCCAGTCCCGTCATGTGTGTCTCTTCATTATAGTGTCCGTGGATACTGGCCTGCCCACATGTTAATGTGACAGCTCAGAGCTCACTTCAATTGAACATGTTATTGCTCAAGGAGAGCAAGTGTCAGTCATTTCCCTCCCTGGGCTAAACTATGAATAATTGTTATTTTGAGGAAAACAAGATCCCACAACTGAAGTGGCTGCAGTTAAATACGATTATGTTCTAGGTGGAATATTTAATATAACTTTTGTGGGTATTGCAGGGCTGTATGGATATTTTTGATTTCCTCTGGCTGAGGAAATGCTTGATGTCAAATTGATCCTATTTTGCAAGACATCATATTCCTTTAGTCATCAATTTTCAGCCAAACTGTCTTCAATTGAACTAGAAAAATAGACGCTTGGGTCTCAGGGTGTTGAATTGTAATTCAGCTATATTCTGTACTGAGCTGAAATAGCCACAGGATTGCTGTGATCACCTGGACTACTGGACTGTTAACTCTTAATAGACTTTTGAGGTGGCAGGTTTCCAGCGCTGGTGATTAATGAACAGATGTCATCACAGCTGTAATCATAGTGAGTGATAGTTTAATAATGCAGCAGCCTTGCCAGTGAAGATCTATGCTGTCATATTAAGAAAGAGGAAGACACTATTTTTAGGATGTGGAGTAGCATCGACATTATTAGAATCAAACTGCACAAGAATATTCTTTGCACATCTACCTGTGTAATACAAGCTGTTGATGAGTTTGGGTGGCAGGTAGCAGGGCTGGGTGGGATCTGAGGTTTTCATGACAATTTAAGAAAAATGGACTGTCGAATTTGAAATAAAATGCATGGAAATTAAAATGTTTTATCCTGTAGGAAAAACGGAAAAGATTACCATTGAGTTTTTGCAGAAGGATATCAAGCAGGAAGGCATTTTTACATTATTTCATAACTTGCACTCAGATCAACATTGTTGTGTTGGGGGCTGCAAAGGGGTATAGTGGTTAGCATTGTTGCCCGACAGCAAAAGGGTTCCCTGTTCAAACTCCGATATGAATTAGCAAGTTCTCCCCGTGTCGAAGTCTCCCTCTTGTGGAAAAAAATGCTTGTTAGGTTTATTGGTTTTTCTAAATTTCCAGTGGTTGCCCACCTTGTGTGTTCCTTTGATGAACTGGCAAACCTGCCAAAAAACAGCTTATATAGTTTTTACCCCCAACACTAAAATAAATGGCCATTGAACATACATGAATGGACTATTGTGTTACTTTTTAAAATGTGTTCTGAAAGCACAGTCTGAAATCTCAGTAAAAATATATATATATATATATATTTTTTTTTCTCAGTATAATCTCAGTATATTTTTGAGTAAATTGCCTTCACCACTCGTAATGATACGTATTCGGCGCAGAGCCTGGCTTTTTGACTTTTTGCTAAGAACAGTCTGGGAGGTCCTTTTTGTCCTTGGTCTGCAGCACATGGCAAGAATACTAACATAGCATAGTTCTGATTGGAAAACTCTTTTTCTGTGGGTGTTGATCCATCTTTGACACTTACAAGCTCAAAGAAGCCAAAGGTTCTACTAAACAAAGTTAAGGCTTCTTTTAGCAGCATTTGTGATTCCATATTGTTGTGCTAAAAAAAAAAAGCTATAGGAAGTTTAGAAATATCCACGCATTCACAATCTATGTAAAAGGGATCCCAAAACATGCTGTACTAATTTCAAACTGTTTTTCCTAAGAGAAATTGTATCTTTATGGTTACTTTTTTGTGCATTGTTGAGGCCTAGGACCATCGTTACTCTGTATACTGCCAAAACATTTCCAATAAATGCCCAGGGGACATTTTATTAGAATTTATTGTGCAGCTGTTTTGTTGTTAAATATTCAAGAGACCAGGTAAACACTGAAATAAATTGATACTTTGATGCTGGCCTCTCTGTGGTCAGCCTGTGAGAGTGCATAATAATTATGGGCAAGGTTCAGTTCAAAGCAAGAATCAGTCCTTTTAATGACAAACATTTGCAGTCCCAAAAAACCTTAGGCCATTCATGAAATCTGTCTGCCCTGCCCATGCAGAAAGTGTACAGGTTGTGATTAATGGTCTCTAAATTAAATCCCAAACAGATCAGTATTTGCCCAAAATTCTCCAGCTCATTAAACTGTTTATTAGTGCGTTGCTACAATACTTTGATTGATTAAATGTTTGAGGGGAAACGACATCCATGAAACAATGGTTACTTCCTGGCCAAATTGAAATAGGCAAATGAGCTGTCATGCATAAGAAATATAATGTTTCTCGCATTCAATTATTATCAAAGAATAACACTGTGACAGTTGATTGTTTCGCTCTGGGAAAAAAATTTTTTTTTTAAATGGTCAGAATAACTTCCACTTCCACCGTACTCCTAAAAAAAACAGTCAACAAAAGCAAAACAGCTTAACAAAACTACATTTTTACAGCAGTGCTGTAGTGGATGTCTTCCTTGTAGAAAACAAAATAAAGAGTTAGAGATGGTTGACTTTGACACAAGTGTTCACCATAAAATGAAATATATAAATCAATAATTGAATTAACCTTTCAGCAGATTAGCACTGAAATGTCTTGACTGAAATAAGTTGGTTTTGTTCATCACCAAAATCTGTCATTTCTGGCTACTTGTTGCTTTTTTGCTTTTTTTAAGTGCTGCAAGAAATCAGTGCTTATGGGAGGAAAAAAGCCTCGCGTACTGAGAATGTCTAAAATTTTTAGGTTCAAACCAAAGTGGCATGACATTAATGGACTCTGCGTTCATGGATTGTACACAAGCAGATGATTCAAAGCTGACCTTTACTGGCTCAGATGGTGTGCATTCCCAAATAACCTGCAGTGCTCTTCAGAAGTGGAAGTTAATCAACAGGATGCGCCTGTTTGGAACAGGCGACGTCATCTGGTTTCTGGAAAAGATGCAGCGCTTTGTACCTTTATGGCATCAATCAATTAATATTAATGTTGTACGGCAGATAGTCTTTACACCCAATCATGAATTAACAGCAACTGTTCCAGGGACTGATTTCTAATTCAAATTAAGAGGGAGGCTTATGGACAAACTGTTCTGATTACAGGAAAGTCCCTCTAGATCACTGTGAGTTAATCCAGCTGGTGTTGCATGTTGGGGAGCTGAATGAAGGCTGTATTTCAAACATGTAATAACACAAAAAAACGTTTGATAATATATAGTAGCATGAATAGTCAGTTAACAACATCGCTTATTAGAGAAATACCAGAATTGAATCCACTTTTAAGTCAGCTTTAACACTCACAACTATGCTGCACAGTGTGTTACATGTTCTTCAAATGGATATGTACACCCTGAAATGGCTGATTCATTCAGAACTCAGAAGGACAGAATATTCTCCAAGTGGTCTGACTGACTTTGGATATCTCAATAATGAACAGATGTATGAATGAGGTTGTTGTTGCCATGTGTTGAGACTGATCCACTGGAACACTTTTAACATCCCGTTTCATAACTTAAAAAGGGACAAATTAAAGCTTCATAGTGAACCAAAGTCATTTAACATCTGGACACATTGGGATTACCAGAAAAAATTAACCTGAACATGAGCCCAATCTACAAAGTGCCAGACTAAATAGATAAATCATGCATTAAAAAAGTGGATATTAAAGGCGACCCTCAGTTTTTCTTATTAATATTTTTCGGTGACAGCATGAAACATATTGGTCCACATTGCTCCCACTGACATGAAAGCCCAACATTGATTTCAATTAAAAAATGACTGATGCTCTTTGATCGTTGAACTTTCTTTTTCTTGGCAGCAAATAAACAATATTTTGAATGGAAAAGTAGCAGATAAGACATCACAGTCTACATGATAAGAGGCTTCATGTCTTGTTTATATCAGCTGGACACACCATTAAATGTTTCTCATTTTCCATTTTCTGTATGGCAAAATCTATTCTTGGGCTCCATTCTCAATATGTATAACCTATTTTTCTGTTTCAAATGAGTTATTTTTCTTTCCAAAATGTTGGTATCTTTCCTACTCTTGAGAATGAACTAATTTCCACATACTGAGCTTCACACCTTCATGTAACATTTAGTTAGAGAGCCTGCAGATGCAGCCTCGAAGCTTCTCATTCCAAATGTTTTGCATATCATATCACGCATCAAAAGTGTTTTTTTCCTCCCCAAATCACATGCTAATGGGATTTGGTACTGGGCCAACTGCTGCAACAAATCACATGCTAACCACAGCTATGTGCATTAAATTCAGACTTATGGATTAAATATCAATGGTGTGCTCAAAGGGAAGAGGGTAGAAAAAGCAACATTGCGTTAGTTGCAGGTGAAGTACATGAAGTTTAATGTCCATAATATTATTCCTTTAACATTCCTCCTGGATTCTCAAGATCTAGTGTATTATTCTTTCATTTGCACATATTACAGATAATGTATCTTGTTTATGTCAACTCTTTCAGTGCTGTTTAACTTCTGTGGAAGTCATTTAATCTTTCTGCTACGAAAGCTCTGTGAGAATAAAAAAACACAACAGCTGTAAAGATCAATGACTCGAGACAAGTTGGGAGATGCGGCAGTGTCACCTGATAGACAAGCACACTTTTATTATCAGTATTCAAAATACTGTAATTACAGAGTGAATTTTTTCATGAATGTTTCTTTATCCTGCTGTGTCTCGTGAGTTAACATGTTGTCTTTAGACAAATGCTGCCAACAGATTTGTAGTCGATGCCAGGTGGCTAGACTATTTTGAGCTGAACCATCTGTGACCTTTCACTATAAGTGTTGAAGTTGTCAGTTCGTTTCTGGAAGGTGGCAAGTTGCGGTTTTGAAACAGCATGTGCAGGAACTTCTTGTTCTCTAAGGATAGTAAAAATCTATGGACCTGACGAGTCAGATATCGAAGGCATTTCCGTCAGCAGACACAAGATCTCCTTTAGAATCTCCTCCTGGAAAGTTTCAAGTTCCTTTTCTCCTTTTCACACGTGTGTATATGTAGCTAAGCTGTTTGCTTGAAAAGGTGCTGCTCTCGTAAAAGATTGATAGTCCCCTGGTGGCCCTGAGGCATCCAAGCCAACAACTCTGGATTTATAAATAAAAGTAAATGGATCAATATTTCCAAGATTTTAGTAGTAACCTTTGGCTTAAAATCTTCCTCCAGTTATAGTTATGATATAGAAAGTGTGCTATGTATCATCACAACTGTGTGGTGATGTAGTCCAAAACATTGGTCCACACCCAGTAACTCCATATGCCGGTTTGGACGCAGTATCTTCTGCAATCATGCATATGAAATAAGTAAATAAATAAAATAAAATACCTGTAATAAATTTATGTTGAGCGAGTAACTTTTCTATCTTGAGGAAACAGAGAGCTCTGAATGTATAACTAAAATCTGAATTGTAAATGAGGCATTTATTCGCTAAACTGCCAACCTCACATGGCTATTAATCAACTTTTATTGAAGCAATATACCAAAGCGGAATGACAAATCATGCTTGGATGGAAACTTCTCATCACAAACATGACAAATAGAATCATTTGCTTGTGGTTTGCAAACCCATTATCTTGGCAGCACCATGATGATAATTATGATGCATGTTTTGGTTGTGCAACGTATCCTGCTACCATTGAGCATCTCACAAACATAGTGGCACATAGTCTGTGCATTGTGTTCATCTACATGCACAAAATGTGCTTGTGTATAAAGCTTATCAGATAAATTCAATTCCCCCTTTAATAACTGTGATTTTATATATTCTGACACGAGGCACTTTACACAATTAAAACTAATACTAATCATATTTAAAATGAGGCTTTTTAATTGTAATACTTGGGTTAAACATTTTTCTGTCCTGACTTTCACTTGAATCATGACTTCTACGAGGTGGCTTTGTATCTCTTCAGATCTCTCTGTAGCTTTTCTGCTTAAGATCTTTTGTGACGTGACAGTGTTTTTCTTATTTCTACTTAAACTATTCTCTGAGTTCCATTGATTGATATGATTCATATTTGTTTTCTGTTTTTTGCTTCTTTTCTCACAAGGGGATTGATGCCACGGACACTAGACAGCCAGATCACATTAGAGAAGACTCCCAGCTACTTTGTCACCAGAGAAGCCCCCCGGCGCATCTCCAGCATGTCCCATGAAACCAAACTGATAGTTGTGGTGCGCAACCCTGTCACGAGAGCCATCTCTGACTACACGCAGACACTTTCCAAGAAGCCTGACATCCCTACATTTGAAGAGCTAGCCTTCAAGAACAAAAGTGTGGGTTTTGTAGACACGTCCTGGAACGCCATTCGGATCGGAATGTACATTCTGCACCTGGAGAACTGGCTGCAGTACTTTCGACTGTCGCAGATGCACTTTGTGAGCGGCGAGCGGCTGATAACGGATCCAGCCGGGGAAATGGGTCGCGTACAAGACTTTTTAGGGCTCAAGCGAATAATCACAGACAAGCACTTCTACTTCAATCGAACCAAAGGCTTTCCCTGTCTGAAGAAGCCGGAAAGCAGCAGTCAACCGCGATGCCTTGGCAAATCTAAGGGTAGAACTCACGTACAGATCGACCAGGAGGTCATAGAGCAGCTGCGGGAGTTTTACAGGCCGTACAACATCAAATTCTATGAAACTGTGGGACAAGACTTCAAGTGGGATTGAATGTACCAGATGAACTGAGTGTTTTTCTTATAAAGGCTACCTCTGGAGATATGTTATTCATAAATGAGGATATATTTAAAATAAACTGTTTAAATATGCTATCTAGACAATAAGAGTTGACAAAAGTTATATACAGTATATAAAAATCCTAATTCTATAAATGTTTCACATCTTTGAGCCATTCTATGTATAAACCTAGTTTTTCAACAACTGACCTGACATATGATATTATCAACAGACAAGCAAATTTAATCGGTCAGCAGATTTCTTGCCAGGTACTAATCACATACAATGTTGGCATTGCTTGATAATTCCTTGTCAATATTGTTTATTTATTCAGCATTTCGTGTGAAAATGAGCTGTTGTCCTTTAAAAGTATTACAACAGCTCACAGTGAAGTTGCCTTAAAATATCAGACAGGTAATAGTTCCATTTATTTACCTCATTATTGCTCTCAAAAACTGTGGACCAGAGTGTCAAACTGGTCAAACAAATATAGTGTATATTAGAGAAAAAAGTGAATGATGACTTTATTTAGTAAAATGCTTTAAGACTGATTAGTGGTTTACTTTTTGTTTTTTTTTACTTCAGCTCTTAATGTGTTATTTTTGTTGTGATCATGTTAATAAAAGGCAAGACTTCTATACCACATTTGCTGGAGATAGCTCTAGTTTAATTTTGATTTGTGAAATTATTCATGGAAATCGAAAATAAAATGGCACTGTTCAGTAATATTCCAGAATTGCACACTCTCACTCTGATGGTGTTATGTTCTGTGATGCTGCTTCACAGGGACCACTGCGTGGAACAAACCAAATCAGCGTGAGTTTTCAACACAGTGGGTAAACATTTGGGAAAAAATGTGCTACTCAAATGAGACAAAAAGAAATAAATTAATTGTTCTCCTGTTACTCCTGATTATATCCATAACATTTTGTTATTTAATCAGAGATATGGACAGATGTTTGTCTAATTCTTTTGTGGCTTGAGCGTCAATGTTTGCCATGTGATTAAAGATAAACTCACAACAACAAAAAAATGACAAAAGGTAAAATACAAAGTAACTGAGCTTGAAATTTTTCACTGAGCCAGGTGAAGGATAAAATATTTCATTTCCAATGCTTCCCTCATGTCATTGATCTCATTAACTTTTACAATTTCTCTTTTGATTGATTTTATGGCGTCTCTATTCTGAAAAGCTTTCCATGATAAGAAGATACATTAACCTCTAGAATTCTCACCCTGAAGCCTTTCATCATTGTCATAAATTATTTCCACTGTTGCCTCCAAAATCTTTGACAGGAAAGAGATAGAAAAGTGCTGAAAAAGAAATCAGTCTTTGCAAAAAAAAAAAAAAAGTGATAGTCACACATTAATGATAAAATCCAAACTATTTATATGTAAATTCTCAACAACAAAAAATTGGTCCTCGAAGTTCTGCAGCAAAAAAATCACAACGATGAAGGAGAAGACTTTGCTCTTGTTGAAAAAAAATCAAATCACACCTTAATGTAATTTTAGTCTAAGTATTCTTCATGTGTTGAACAGGAAGACATCAGACGTCGCTTTGTATTAAAATGACTGATAATACAGATCAGCATTTCAGGCACAAGATACATGGCTAAGTATGAATGAAAAATATCAATGCAACCATTGACGAAGATTAACAGTTGCTTTTTGTTGTTGCATTTTTTGTGATGAAACTTCAATCGAAACATTTTCAAAGTACTTTATCTTGATACTTATCAATCAATATGCATATATCACTTGATATGTTTATTGAGCCTTTCAAAAAAAATGTTGATTGGACATAATCAAATAATTAAAAAAATAACATCAATTAATTTTGCAGGCTTAAAGTAAATAATCTTTCTGAAAAACACTCAGACTGATGTTATAATGGCTTTTTTTCTGCATATGTGGTGCATAAAGAGTCTTCGTGACTTCTAAGTCATGTTTCGCTTTCATTGTTTAATCCCCTGCTGCAAGGCTCTGAATTTAGTAGCCTTATCCAGTCACACTTGGACTAATGTGCAAATGTGACAATGTGACCTTCCATATTAAGAAAATTAGACATTCACTTACATTCTGACTGTGCTCCACCAGTACGTGTCCGTTGGCAACAGCAGTTTTTAATCTGTCATTTGTGATACTCCCTATTAATATTTGATTAACCTGCCAGTGCTGTCTGCAGCTGCCTGCTACTAAGCGAGCAGAAATTTTAGTTTGGCAATAAGCTCAACTTCATATCTCTGTTCTGTTAATTATAAGTTATCCCCAAGAATGCTTGGGGCTTGATGGTGCAGCGGGGAAAAATATTCCAAATCACGGTTGCCACCAGATGAGACCCAACATGTAATAAATGTGTAATTAGTTCTGCATGTGGCTATTTTACATTAGACTTATTTTTCAGATTATGAAGTGAACTTTTTTTGGTTGTTTTCAGACCTGTTTATTGAAAGAGTTTGTTTGGCATATAGAAAAATATCAGCAATCACACTCATTAACCAGGCAACTGACATATCTAAGGTCACCGTTGCTTTAGTCAAAACAAGTGGTTCATCGATGTGTATATATTGTATTAACTCCTCATTATGAAGAAACAAAGGTTCAATGGGTAACTAAAAGCTGTCTGACTGACTATTCTAACCTTCAAAGTAAATACCAGAGAAGCTCTTGTAAATGTCATGAACTTTGAAAGAGTCTGAGGTTAAATACAACTCATCAGAAATGTCTAACAGTTCATTTTTTTTGCAGCAACATATATTTGCTGCCAGCTTCATTATAAAAAAAACATAAAAATTCCACACATTGCTGTAATTGAAGTTCTATTGACATGCATCCTGCATGGAAGTTGTTGTTTAGTGGAGGACACCTACAGAAGGATACTGCAAATCTGAGATGTTCCCCAAAGAACAGCAACCAAAGACTGCTGAAAAACAAACAAATAAAAAGCAAGGTATCATAATTTCCTTTCATCTCCTGATTGATCCAGGTGTAACAGATTCTTAGGGTTATGATGTGCTGTTTCTCCTGTATGACTTCCTGAGTTTGGGGAACACATTCAAAGTATTTATTTGGGGACTTCTTCTGGTCCTTCTTAATGAGCCAGAGCATGGATAATAATGAGGATGTTCCCTTTTAGCATTTAACACTGAGAAGAACAGACTATTTTTTTCAATTATTTGAAACTTGGGAGACAGAAACCCCTCCAGAGGAAATCTCATTAAATACCAAAATGGCATGCAAGCTAACCTCTATCTGCATGAATGCACCTTTAGAATATGTCATTGGTCCCCTGGGTTTTTCCTTGTATTGTCATTTTGCATCTCCAGGTACTTCAAGCTGCTCCTCTAAATTAAAAGATGCTAAATGTAAGACAGCAAAATATTTATAGTCACTGCAGATGCTTTTTTTTTTTTTTGCTTGATCTGATACAAATGACAAGCTCTCTGCCACACTAATGAAAAGTTTCACATTAAAGAAGCCATGTATACCTGAAGAAAAAGAGACCCCCTATGTATGTAGATACACACCACACCTAACCCATGTAACAACCTTTCCCCTTTCTTCATTTCCTCTGGTCTGTTGAACATGCCTTACCTCCTGAAAAGGTCAAGTGCAGAACAGGTCTCCAGGCGCACGGTCGGCTAATTAAGCAGCGGTTGTGGGAGGTGCGTATCAGCTCCTGGGATACTGCTGTGGATGGTTACCCTTTAGGGTAACAAATATATTGTTTCACCTGTAAGCTAAGTGGGGATTTGCATTGCATTTTGGGAAAGCATGAACTCTTATAACTCGACACTATGCTTGAAGGTAAGAAGAAAAACCGAGGTCGCACCATGTGCATGTATTTAAATGTGTATATATAAATATATACACGTAAAAAGTGCATATGTGTATGAATAGAAAGAGAGATCTTTTTTAGCAATTCTTTGTAAATAGCCTAAATATCTAGTTTTGTGTTTTGATAAAATGTTCATTTCTGTCCTCATTTTTTACAGTCATTTTGATGGTTTCACTCTTAAACATAACTGAAAATATTATTTATTTTCACATAAATTTAATTCACGGGAGACTAAGATCAGATGCCATTCACATGTCTTTGTTATGTGCAGAACTGCTGTATATTTTATCTAGTTCCAGTTGCCAGGCAACTAGAGGAGGCTGAAAGACGTTGTAGGCCCTGACCATGAGATAGTTGGGTACTCACTGCGCTGTAAAAAGGTGAATTTTGAGTTTTACACTTGAGCTTTTGATTAGTCAGGTCTAATACACCCGGTTAATTCATGAACTGATTTTGGGTTAGACCAATTCAAGCTTTGTACTAAGCTAATTGACCATCAGTTTTTAGCTTTAACATGAGTAGGATATTCTTTTCAGCTGGTGAGATATGAAATTAACACATGTTCATTTTCCTGGTAAGATGTGAAATGACCATGTGTTCTAAAGTGCTTAGCCTTTCCCCCAAATCCAATCATAAAAACATAGTATTTGTAAGGTATGATGGTAGATGATTTTTGTTGTTACTCAAAAAGCCTCCCACTGCTGCAGTAGTCATTTCATGCAAATGGTATTTTACTAGGGGGGGGGGAAGTAAATTTGGTTGGCAAATTATAACAAACAAACTGTTATGAAGGCTGAAATTTTGCAAGTCAAACAGTTGTACTGTGTGGGCAAAGTACAGTGCTCTGCCTACAGCCTGCCATTTACATTTGGGTTTACAGAGGAGCTCAACTCACTGTGCAGGACTGCACCCAGGAGACGGCCGGTGGAAGACAAAGATATGCAATGAAAACAGATGCCCTCTCCAGGATGCCTGATAAACGCAGCCAGTTTCAAATCTCTGATAATTAAGTACCTACTCCATGGAGCATATATGCCTGGCATCATGCTAATAAGCTGATAATAAGCTCTGCCAAATCAACAACACTCACCCAAACTTTTACTGCTGATGTAAAAATGAGGAGCACTGAAACATTCAGATGACAACTATTGAG